TCACCCTGTGGTTTGTACTATAAAGTATCTATTTTTTACTTAGCTTAACCAATTCTGATTATTTTTTCTTCAAAATCGCTGGATTTTCGCATGTTCCCATTAAAATGCTCAGAAGCGAAGCCGGTGAGGCAGCAGCGAGCTGAGCCTCACCTGGGATTGCGCAACCTCTCGCTAACTGCACTGGCTGCCGTTCTATGAGAGCATGTTCGTCCTGTCTGTACGCCGGTAATAAAATGGCTAAAAAACATTTAATATATGGACTGATTTTTCATAATTTTGCTTATGTATATAATGTACAGTGTTTTTTTTTTGTCACCAGCTGTGTGTATCGTGTTTTGTGTGCGGAGGAGCGATCAGAAACGGCAGAAAACAGACTCCAGGGGAGACAGGCAGTTCTCTTGCCTCATGGCAGGGGGCGCTCATGATCCCAGATATTGTGACTCCACAACTGCAGAGTAAGACACAGTGAGCTAGCCATGGAGCTAGCCATACAGTAAATAAGTAAAGTACAGCGATATATTTGTTTTCTCCTCTCTTCCGACATCAACATGAAAGACTACATTTCTACACTTAAACAGTTTTCTAAAGTGGATTTTCATTTGAAGCAGGAGATAATAACTAAAGGAAGACCAACACCGGAGCTGAAAGTTTAGCTTCGAGAGTTTGACGATTCTCAAACGGAGTAGAAAAGACATGCTGAGGATAGACTTGGCTTTGGATGAACAGATATTTTTGTGCAGAATTAGCGGTGCATGGATTTCATTGATCCGTAAAGGTAAGACAGCATTAAGATGTTTTTTTTAATGAAATGTGCGTTTTTTGGGGTAGTTTGTATGTCTAAATAATTCAGTAAAGTAGAAGCGGTAGCTAATCTACCACAGCAATTATTTATTAATTAAACATTAAGCCTAAAACATACCTCAACAACAGACTAAATGTTCTGTTCTGTGTGCAAAATAAATTCTTTAATGTTTTTGGTGCTAAATCCTAAAACATGAAGTGGCATTGTTGTCAGTTGCTATGGCAACAAGTCTGTGTAGCTTGACGAATACAGATCACTTTGCTGTGGATCATAGCACGAAATCAATACCTACATTTCTAAGTTT